TAAGTCTAAGATAGTGGATTTATGTAGCTTAATAAAAGCCATTTGGGGCATTCATTTCTCTATAAAAGACCGCGCCTTCATACATAACCCCTTGTTAAAAAAAACACTAGCATCCTACATGCCGTAAAATACGATACACAATAAACCTAACATTATACGAAAAATATAAACTTTTTCGACTTTTATCGTATTGTGTTGAGCACAAATAAATAAAAACTTTCGGCCGCATCACGACAACGTGCGATTATATTAACAAAGAGACGAGCAGTAATTTACAATACAATAAATAAACCGTAAACAAAATAGCGATGTATAATAGTAATTAATAAAAGGTATAAATATCAAAAATGTTTGTTGTTACCAATATGACGATGTAAAAGTATGCTTCGTATAAAATTTATTGCTTCTGGTAAAAACTGATGACAATAAAAAAAGTATAGGCTAAATGTCGGGATTGTTTTATAAACTAACTGTTCAATAAAACACAAGCAACTATATTGGGAGCAATATTTCAGTTAATATGTTGCTATTTGCGATTTAAATGTTTACTCTTTTAAATAAGTGGAAGATGAAAAATATTTCAGAAAACGCCATATTTTAGCGATTTCAAGTTTTTACGCTGTTGAAATGTTGCCCTAGCATTGAAAATTTTTAAGAAATTTATTTCTGAAGGCAAGCGAAAATTAGGAAAAAGAATAGTATTTTGGATTATGAATGGAGAGCAAAGTCGATTAATATTATAAACGGCTGGTTAGAAATTGTCAACGCAAAGACAGCCTACAAAGGAATTTGCCTTGAAAATATATACAGAAAGCCAATGACAGTAGAAAGGACAGACGAAAGACGTATCTTTTTGCAGAATTTTTTTAGATGGGCTCAATAAATGAAGAAACGAGATTTTCTCTAAATTGTGTATCACGGACACATTCTCTGAAGGCATTTATTAAGCTATATCACGTACAATAAATATACATTTAGAAGTTTTACAATATTGTATTGAAGAGTTAAAGTCCCCATACTTTCTTCCCAAAAAATGCACACGTTATCTGAAAATAGATTTAGCCATTATTGGAACTTATGTTGTTTATAGTATTATAATGGTATAAGACAAATGTATCAGAAGGAAAATGAAGAATGCAAGATTGTCTTCCTCTTACATTACGTTTAAAACAATCAGAAAATCTCTTTATAACTGGTTTGATCAGGATGTCAATACTGATAAAAATAATGTTTTTGGTGAATTAAAACATTTGCAGCCTATAAGTATATCATCCAATAATTTACAGGTGGAAAACCTTTGCGTGTTATCATATACAGGATAACGTATTTATATAGAGGAAAAGGTGGTATTATGGAACACTTCGGGTATTATGGAACCACTCCATTTCGAACTGTTAATAAAGGCGAACTGTAGCGTATTGTGGCTGCACAGCACTAGGCAGACATCCATAGCAAGGGGAAAACCCGTTTCACTTCAGTTAAACGGTTGTCTGTATTTAATCAGCAAATTTTTTTTNATAAACTTTTTAATTTTTTCATTTCCAGTATTTGTTTGAAACTTTTATGAAAACATTGCTTCCCTGTTATCATATGTCACCGCACGCCACTGTTATTCAGTAACCATAATTTTATTTAACGATTTTACGAAATAATCATAAAAATCGTATTAGATCCGTTAGCATGTAATATTATTTTATCGCGTACGTTGTAATTAAATACATTATTTGACGTAGATTTATAAATATTTAAATAAATCCAATTCAATAACATTAACTGTGTTGTTAGTAGTAAATAATAGATCACTCTTGAAAATGGAAGGTATGTGTATGGAAGGTAGTCGTTTTTATAGAAGTTCTTTTAAGCTTTATCGTAACAATAGTAACAGTGAACAAAAATGTCTCATTATTATTATCATTTTTACTTTGTATTAATCTAAATTTATTTTGATAAAAGATGCTTACAAATTCCAATATGGAGGTGTTTGCTCGTGCCATGTTGTCACGTTGCCAGGCATTCCAATAAAAACACTGACTTTACTTTCAAATTTGTTAAAATTTCTTTTTAATTAATATTAAGCATTATATTTAATTTGAATAATTAGCAAAATATTGCTATAAAATAAGTTTACAGATTAAAATTTTTGTTATAAATTCTATTTGAATTTTAAATTGAACATTTTTTTAAACTGATGCAAAAGAAATAAAAAAAAACCAGCTTATTTATAGATATAAAACGTATGCTTATGCATTAATAGTATATTTATGCACAGTTTATAAATGTTACTTTTGTATTATGAGCAGCAATTAAGGTTCAGAAATTATTTTCTAATAAAGATCGTTGAAACAAATAAATACGCATCGGATATTTTAATAATTTCACGTATTTTTACTACGACAGCTTAAACGTCACGCGGAAATGCAACAATACAAGAAACAATAGTTTTGCGATTGTTACAGTTTCTTTGTTGAGTGGTTTTTTTCGAAGGCAAAAGACGTATTCGAAAGTTTGTGGTTAATTTCTTAAAGAAAATTGCATTAAAAATAAATGTAAGTAATATTTTGACAGACTACAGAATATACATAACAAATATTTTTATAATAATAGAATTACGATTAAAAAATTTTTCATTAGGTAATCATAAGGTTCTTAAACTTAATTAACAGCAAAGAACTAGAAAAAAAATTAATTTTAAGGCATATTTCCATATTTTAAGAACATATATTATTATGTTTAGAATTACATTATGTTTAGAACATATATTATTACGATAGCCAAAGTATATAATAATGAGCATAAATCTGTGAAAATATTCCTTTGATCATTCCCTGACATGTAGACACAAATAATTCACGAATTGTTTTTTTCTCAGATTTCGAAATGGAGAAAGTTATAAATATTGTAGATGTGGATAGAGATTTAGAGTTGGTGTTGTCTGAGGAGCGATTTGATCCTCCCGACTTCAGTATAAAATTCTCAACTAATTATGATGATGATGATGATGATTCCTTAAGTTGGGATTTTGAAAGTTATCAAGATACGAATTATATGAAAATTGTTATCGATCTTGCTGAGGATTATTTCAGTTATGGAGACTCTAATTTGCAACATGTTGATAAGAAAGATGTTTACTTTCGTTGCGATGAATATGAAAATCATCGTATGTCGCTTGCTCAGAAAGTTGAGCTGCAAACTGACAACGATTCTCACAACAAGTAAGATTAAATATAAAAATCTTACATATATAGTTATGCAATGCGTATTTTATCTAATTTTCTCTTGTCGTTTCTAGAAATCCAAAGTATTTGTGTGAGGAGCAACTTAATCCTCCCAACCTCAGACCAACAGATTATGATAATCGAGATGATGATGATTTCTTGAGTTGGGATTTGGAAAGTTACCGAGAAACAGATTATATGGAAATTGTTCTCGGTCTTTCTGAGGAATATTTCGGATATAGCGATTTCAATTCGTATCAGGATTATAAAGAAAATGTTTACTTTCGTTTTCATGAGTATGAAAATCATCATGTATCGAGTGCTCAGAAAGTTGAGTTGAAAGCTGTCAACGATTGTCTTAACAGGTAAGATTAAATATAAAAATCATACGTATACACGTATTTAATACGAATTTAATTTTATTTTCTATTGTTGTTTCCAGAAATATAGAGTTATTGTGTGAGGAAAAATTTCATGCTCCTGCTCTTTGTANAAAAAAAAAAAAAAAAAAAAAAAAACACTAGATAGAAAAATTGTTTCAATAGAAGAAGATCTTTGAAATAATTTGATTGAATCGATGACAAGAGATTTTTATGATAAAGTAACTAATGACTTCGCGAAAAAAAATTCCCGAATAGAGTTAGTTTATAGAAAATAATAAGAACAAGTTTCTTATATAATAATATTTTTGTATCATGTTTAATTATAAAATTAAATTATGTATTAAATTATATATTTGTAATTATATATTTCAGAATTAAAATAAATAAACTTTTTAATTTTTTCATTTCCAGTATTTGTTTGAAACTTTTATGAAAACATTGCTTCCCTGTTATCATATGTCACCGCACGCCACTGTTATTCAGTAACCATAATTTTATTTAACGATTTTACGAAATAATCATAAAAATCGTATTAGATCCGTTAGCATGTAATATTATTTTATCGCGTACGTTGTAATTAAATACATTATTTGACGTAGATTTATAAATATTTAAATAAATCCAATTCAATAACATTAACTGTGTTGTTAGTAGTAAATAATAGATCACTCTTGAAAATGGAAGGTATGTGTATGGAAGGTAGTCGTTTTTATAGAAGTTCTTTTAAGCTTTATCGTAACAATAGTAACAGTGAACAAAAATGTCTCATTATTATTATCATTTTTACTTTGTATTAATCTAAATTTATTTTGATAAAAGATGCTTACAAATTCCAATATGGAGGTGTTTGCTCGTGCCATGTTGTCACGTTGCCAGGCATTCCAATAAAAACACTGACTTTACTTTCAAATTTGTTAAAATTTCTTTTTAATTAATATTAAGCATTATATTTAATTTGAATAATTAGCAAAATATTGCTATAAAATAAGTTTACAGATTAAAATTTTTGTTATAAATTCTATTTGAATTTTAAATTGAACATTTTTTTAAACTGATGCAAAAGAAATAAAAAAAAACCAGCTTATTTATAGATATAAAACGTATGCTTATGCATTAATAGTATATTTATGCACAGTTTATAAATGTTACTTTTGTATTATGAGCAGCAATTAAGGTTCAGAAATTATTTTCTAATAAAGATCGTTGAAACAAATAAATACGCATCGGATATTTTAATAATTTCACGTATTTTTACTACGACAGCTTAAACGTCACGCGGAAATGCAACAATACAAGAAACAATAGTTTTGCGATTGTTACAGTTTCTTTGTTGAGTGGTTTTTTTCGAAGGCAAAAGACGTATTCGAAAGTTTGTGGTTAATTTCTTAAAGAAAATTGCATTAAAAATAAATGTAAGTAATATTTTGACAGACTACAGAATATACATAACAAATATTTTTATAATAATAGAATTACGATTAAAAAATTTTTCATTAGGTAATCATAAGGTTCTTAAACTTAATTAACAGCAAAGAACTAGAAAAAAAATTAATTTTAAGGCATATTTCCATATTTTAAGAACATATATTATTATGTTTAGAATTACATTATGTTTAGAACATATATTATTACGATAGCCAAAGTATATAATAATGAGCATAAATCTGTAAAAAATATTCGCTTGATTTACCCCTGATGATTAGACCCAAATAATTCACGAATTGTTTTTTTCTCAGATTTCGAAATGGAGAAAGTTATAAATATTGTAGATGTGGATAGAGATTTAGAGTTGGTGTTGTCTGAGGAGCGATTTGATCCTCCCGACTTCAGTATAAAATTCTCAACTAATTATGATGATGATGATGATGATTCCTTAAGTTGGGATTTTGAAAGTTATCAAGATACGAATTATATGAAAATTGTTATCGATCTTGCTGAGGATTATTTCAGTTATGGAGACTCTAATTTGCAACATGTTGATAAGAAAGATGTTTACTTTCGTTGCGATGAATATGAAAATCATCGTATGTCGCTTGCTCAGAAAGTTGAGCTGCAAACTGACAACGATTCTCACAACAAGTAAGATTAAATATAAAAATCTTACATATATAGTTATGCAATGCGTATTTTATCTAATTTTCTCTTGTCGTTTCTAGAAATCCAAAGTATTTGTGTGAGGAGCAACTTAATCCTCCCAACCTCAGACCAACAGATTATGATAATCGAGATGATGATGATTTCTTGAGTTGGGATTTGGAAAGTTACCGAGAAACAAATTATATGGAAATTGTTCTCGGTCTTTCTGAGGAATATTTCGGATATAGCGATTTCAATTCGTATCAGGATTATAAAGAAAATGTTTACTTTCGTTTTCATGAGTATGAAAATCATCATGTATCGAGTGCTCAGAAAGTTGAGTTGAAAGCTGTCAACGATTGTCTTAACAGGTAAGATTAAATATAAAAATCATACGTATACACGTATTTAATACGAATTTAATTTTATTTTCTATTGTTGTTTCCAGAAATATAGAGTTATTGTGTGAGGAAAAATTTCATGCTCCTGCTCTTTGTATGAAATTACAAACTAGTAATGATGATCGAGGAGATTTTTTGAGTTGGGACATGGAAGGATACGAAGAAACGGGTTATTCGGATATTGTTCTCGATCTTAGTGAGGATTGTTTTAACGACAACGATTGTAACTCGCGACAGATTATAGAAAAAGACGTTTATATTTGTTCTGATGAATGCGAGAATAATCCAGTGTATTGTGATGAAAAAGTTCAGCTGGAAGTTACTATTGAGGATTCTGATAGGTAAGATTTTTATATTTATTTAATACATATTTTTATCTCATATTCTGCATTGTTTTTGTATTATGGAAATGAAACAATTTTAATATATTTTAGTAAAATATAAAGGCATGATTTATTACAAAAATTAATATTTAATCTTTATATATTCACTAACATTAAATAAAAAATTTTATTCATTTTTTTCACAATAAAATTAACATTTCATTGTGAAAATTTTATGTAGTTAAAGAATAATAATAAAATGAAAAATGTAATCATAATTATATTTTACTATTTCTTTTATACTTTAATGATAATGAGCAAGTTCTTCATTGATGATAAATTCGATTTTCACAATGATCATTATTTTTTAATTTAGAATTTATTTATGTTAAAATTGAAAAGAAAGATTGAAACATTAAATTAATACAATATTACGTTCGGTGAATTTAAGTACAGTAGAACCTCGATTATCCGGACCTCTATTATCCGGATTTTCGATTATCCGGATTGTTCAAAATAAACAAAAATTTTACGAATTTGCTGATTTGCATCTGGCGAATTACGACACTGTTTATGTACGTGATGGAATGCATAACATTTTTTGTTTCAACAACGTCTCACCCGGCACAGTGGTCGTAAACTCTTAAATATATTTTGCGTCATAATAAAAATATAACTTGACATACGTATTTATAAATAATTTTATACTCAAATTACATCATTTCTATAACCAAGGGCGGCGTAAGGTATGGGCAACGTGGGCCACCGCCTATGCCTGGCGGTCCGAAGGGCCTCGCGCCTCGAAGGTTAATGCATTACTTAAAAGCCGAGACCGCGATGAAAAAATTTTACTCGTCATAAAACGATAAATAGTTTGTCAAATTTTTATTCATAAAAATGCAGTTTCAACTGCTTTTTATTTTATAAAATCCGTCTTCTTGCGCCACCAGAGGGCCTTTTAAACAATAGGTAGTCTGTTAGCGTTGGTCAGTAGTAGTCCAAATTCAATACGAACGTTTGTTTCTTGAAAATTTGATCACGATTTAAATACAGTATTTATTTTTAATATTACCGATATGTCATCGAAAAGAAAACGTGTTGTATTATCATTAAAAGACAAAGTATTTGTTTCGATTATCCGGATTTTTCCTTATCCGGACTACCTTCATCCCCAATTAGTCCGGATAATCGAGGTTCTACTGTATTTAATATTCATTAAAGTTGAAGGATTTTTATATTTTCACAGAACTTTTTTTATTTATTGTAAGTTTGTTTGAATGTAGATAGTTCTGACCTATCTTCGGTAATTTATGATCTGTAGTTTTTAGATAATCTTTTGCTAACAGATACTGAAGGAGACGAATAACCTGAAAATTCTTGTAATGTATGATGCACAAAACTCTATTATTAAATTTTATGTATCTGTGATGGTAGGATCATTAGCAGTTAGCATAGAATTTTCATCCTTTGTACCTCCACAATTCTCTGCTCACGTGAACAATATATCATTGCCCTTATCATAGGCAATTACATGAATTTGCAAATAGTAAAACTAGATTTGTCTGCGATAGAATCCTTTTAAACTGCTAAGTTGTAAGACGCATTTTCATTTGGTTCTTGCAAGTTATATGGATTAATACATTCTGTATTTGTATTACCTCTGCCCTGTTCCAAAGAATCCAGGGCAAGCTGTACAACTTCTGTGGTCCTACATCAGACAGCATATATTAATGTCCAACTTCCAAAACACTTTAAACGGCATTGTATTATAGTAAGATTTTACATTACTATTAACATTATTACCATAGATGAAGGTGTTACGTAAATGAAATTGACAGAACTTTGAGGAAAAAGGTAGTATCAGCTCATGTTGTGTTCTTTCATTGAAAAAAACATCAAGTCAATGTAACATAAATCCTTAGTTTACTGAATATCTCTGTCTGAAAGGATGTATGTAAATAACGTTCGTTGTCTAATAAAGTTTGATACATAACATTTTCACTCATGGAGAAAAATCGATTCGTTCCTCCATTGAAACGTTCAATTCTATTTTACTGTTTTAATCTTATATAAAAATAATAAATGTATGTCATCAAAAGTTTCTTATTTATTTATATTTCATTTTGATAAAATAGGATAATTGAGAATACTACATCTGATGTGCATGTTAATCAATTAATGGACCATGCACCGAAAAAGGAAAAGTTCTCTAAATTAAAGAAATTTTTCCGATTCTTCTTTTGGTATGTATCTTTAACTTATATGTATATATAAATGAATGTGTTTATTTGATAGGCACACAAAAGGCCATTCGACAAATTGCTATGAAACTCGACAGTTATGTTAACATACTTCTAATTTAGATAATATCGTACATATTACTCCAAAATATTGATTAAATTTCTGTATTTCAGTTAATTTGTTTGTACATTCGATTCGAATTAACGACTATCTACTAGTGTTTTGTGATTTTATCCAAATGTGAATAGTATAAATTCAAAGTAGTGTTTAAAGAATACAATTTCAGTTAATTTGTTGGATAGCTGATCTAAATAATATGTGTTTCAATGTTTCCCTCTAAGACAATATTTTTGTAAGGTTGTACTGTCGTGAAACTGCAAAAGCAATAACATAAATGTATGTAGAGAAAAATTATTTAGTAACTTTATGTAATTTGAATATGAATTGACAATACTATAATTGGATAGATTATAAATCACATGTCGCACTATCGCTAAATTGCTCAGAGTCAATGCCTCCTTACATTTCCGATATCCTGCAACTTTCACTGTAATGGGACCTCTCCAAACCAGCAATGAACGGGTTCTTATACCAGTCCAAGCAACAGAATATCGAAAATGTATATGATTCGAGGCCATCTGGGATGAGAAACCGTGAAGCATAAGCTTCGTTAGTTTTATAGTATTGATAGATATGCCAGTGCTTTACCATAATATAATTCGGTTTATATTGCACACATTTTTATCTTATAATAAAATAAACTTATTTATATTAAAATGATGTAAATAATAGAATATTTTAGAAAAAATCTTTATTATTTTTATTTTATTTTTACAGAAAACAGAAGAATTTCACAGATTTCGTATTTAATTTTCTTCATTTATTTATACTGAAATTTATTTTTCTTGTGATTGTTTCATTTTTATTCTTATCTTTATTTTAAAATGTTCAAGAAAAATAAGAAAAAAAAAATTCATTAAAATATAAAAACACAAAAAAATATTTAAAATACAAA